AAAAAAAAAAAAAAAATTAAACAATGTGTCCAATGTTTTTTGGCTAATAAATAGCAGAGATGGGGTTAATATCTAGGCTGTCTGATTAACAATCCCACACAATGATTCACTATTGGAACTGCCACTCCTGATAGTTTTTGTTTATGAGTTTAGTAATGTCTATGAGCCTATTGATTAGGAATGATTTTGTAATATTTCCTGGTTATTTTCAGTACATACTTTGAATATTAATGAAGGTCTACTTTATTGTACAAAAAAGGAGAGGTTATAGCATGACCTCAATATGAAATAGTTAGAATCTCACTGCCATATTTTATAGGTCATTAATAGCATATTTATAACTTTTTGACTATTCAATTTTACTTTGCTCCAGTGATCTTAGCTTCTTATGCTCTCAAATTTTCTAAACACTAGCTACATTATAATAATTATTTTCATTCTTTCTTAATATTCTTCTGATCTGAAAGCACATACTGGCTAGAATACCCCATACACTGACAACATCCAAGTTTCCATAAACTTCACATAGGCATCAATTTTTCAAACATTTTACTTATTAGTTGTATATATTTTGAATCCATTAAGCTGCATAAAAATTCATGTAAAGATAGATCCAGGAACAGTTAGTTACTTTCCAGAAAAGTTTGAATACTGCCAAAAATGTTTTTATGTGAAAATAAAGGCCAGTAGATTAATAAAATGTTTTATTTAAATATTAACCTTGTAAATTTTATATTTTACAGTTTTACTCTAGGTATGATTGACTGAATAGTCAGCACAGAAAAAATCCTATATTATTTACTTAAAAGTACCAAGACTACATGTGGAATAGAAAACTGGAAATTCATTTTCTGGCTACAGTTGGTTGTTGTAAAGAATTCTAAAAGTGATCATAAAGCAATTGGCCAATACACAGACTAAAGACAATCAAATGTAGTGGGAATAAACTGGCTTTAATAGCACATGGCACCCATTGTAATCACCAGTATCCATTTCAGGATGAAGTAAATGAGTATGAATGAGGGTAGCTATTAACTTTAACCAGAAATGCTAGGATCTGACTGGGAGTAAGAAAGGAAAAATTATATCACCTACCTGACAAAAGGGTAGGTTCTTGTGTAGCAGACTGAATACCACTCTTTTTTTTTTTTCTCATTTGGAGATTTTTTTTTTTGCTTAAATTATTTTATTTTAGGTATATTTAGGTATACAATACCTATACCTTTATTTTAGATATGCAATACATTTACACTTTTCTTTGGGTGCTTGTACCTGTACAT